TCGCGGGGGACCTGGGCTTGGCGGGCGGCGGGGACCTCGCGGGGGGCCGCGGCTTGGCGGGCGCTGGGGACCTCGGAGGGGACCGCGGCTTGGCGGGCGGCGGCTTGGGCCTCGGAGGGGACTTGGCGCGGCGGCTGGTGGGGGGCCGAGAGAATCTGTCCCCGCGTCCCCCGCGCCCCACATCCCGTCCCCCGCGCGCCCGAGTCCCCTTGACCCGCGCCCCGCGTCTCCGCCCCCGCGACCCCGGCCCGCGGGCGACACCCACCTGGTGCGCTGGCAAGCGCAGCACACCCAGTCCTCCTCCTGGCGCTCGTAGAAGCAGCCGCTGCGGCACAGGCTGTATCTGCGGTCCACCAGCTCGCGCTTGGAGTTGAGGAAGGTGAAGGGCGGGCAGCAGCGGATGGTGAAATGCTCCGACAGCCGCTGGTTCTTGGACAGGCGCGGGCCCTCCTTGGCCCCCTTCTGGCTCATCTCACTGCGGGGACAGGGACGCCAGGGGCCGCGTTAGGCGGGAGGGCAGACTGGGACGCTGGGGTCCTGTCCCACATCACGGAGAGCTGAGATAAGCCTCTGGGGGTTGGGGGGAGAGAGACAGAGACAGAGACAGACAGAGACAGAGACAGACAGAGATAGAGACAGACAGACACAGACAGACAGACAGACAGACAGACAGAGGCAGACACAGACAGAGACAGAGACAGACAGAGACAAAGAGACAGACACAGACAGAGAGAGAGACTACAAAACAATATATCAGGCTAAATCACATTCTAGACTTAGGAAAGGCCTTTTCTCTCAAAATCAAAGAATGGCTTATTATTAAAACTATAAATTGGGCACGATGGGGCAGGGGCTGTCATACCAGCACTGTGGAAGGCCGAGGCACCCAGAGTTTGAGACCAGCCTGGGCAAGTTAGTAACTTAGCAACACCCTGTTTCAGAATTTAAAAGAAGAAGAAGGAAAGAAAGAGGGAAGAGGAAGGGAAAAATGGCTGGGGTGTAAGGCAGTGCTAAGGGCCTGGGTTCAATTGCCAGTACTAGGGAGAAAACCTATAATCATTATTCATGGAAAAATATTCTATGCAACAATAAAAGACACAAACTACTGCTACATACAGTAACATGTTTAAATCTCACAAACAACATTGAACAAAAGGAATCAGACACAGAGGGATACAAGGACTTTATGTGGAGCTCAAAATAGGCAAAATTTTGGTGGAGCTAGAAATCAGAGCAATATGCTTTGATCTGAACAACAAATCCAGACAGCCTGCTGGGGGCTGAGAATGCTCTCCTAGGAGTGTGACACCTGCAAAATGCTCTTTGCATTCCAAAACACTGAAGCACAGAGGAAATGGAATGACTGTTAATCGACAAGAGCAGATAACTGGGGCAATGGGCATAGCTGGACACTGAAATGTCCCCACTGCCAAAATCTCAGGCCCTGTGGGCAACATAGGCATGCCCTGTTGTACTGACCAATGGAAGTCTGCAGAGTTCAAGGAGAGGACAGAGAAGGGAGACAACAGACGTGTTTTGGGTCTTTAAGAGTGAATACATTAAAAACAACGAAATCACGTGTCATAATTTAGATCTAAAATGGCTCCCAAAGCTTCATGTGTTCATAAGGTGGGGATTTTGGAAGGCAATGAATCGTGGAGGGTTGCAGCTGATTTGCAACTAGCAGGTGACGTCGGGTGGGAAGCGGCAGATTCCTGGGTGGCCTAGAAGGGTTTGTCTCGCTCCTGGCTCCTCCCTGAACTTTACCTAGCCTCCCTGATGCCCGTAACTTTTCCTCTGCCCCTCTGCTATGGTGTCCTGCCTTAGAGCCAGCAGACTGTGGACTGAAACCACTACATACTAAGTGAAAGCAAATCTCTCTTCCTTTAAATTGCGGGTCACAGGTAGTGTCTCAGCAACTAAGCAAATGACTAAGACAGATGTTGTAACACTGAGGTGGAGTTGCTGCTGTTGCTGACTATGTGTTTCACAGCCTATGGAACCGATTTGTGGGAGAAGTTTCACAAAATTTGAAGATACCAGTTAGAGAAGCCTAAAATGCTGCAAACCGAGTTCAGTGGGAGAGTGCAGTCAGAGCTCAGAAGACCAAAAGGTTTCTTAAAAAGTAGATGAAAAAAATCAGGCTTGGAAGATTTCAGTTAGAAACGTAGACTTCACGGGCAGTTGGACTCCAGGCCAAGTGTGTTATGCTGTTGCAGAAAATTCATCTACATTTTGCTCCTGTCCAGAGATATTGTGGGAGACCAGAATTAGGGGCAGTAAACTAACTAATCTCGAGGAAGAAATTTCAAAGCAGCCCAATGTTGTGACTGTGACATAGATACTGTTGAAACCTTTAGTTAGGTTTGATAGAAAATCAAGAGCAAAAGACCCATTTTGAAAGTCTTTAGTTTTACCAGAGATAAATCACCTACTAAAAAGGAGGAGAATATAGAAGAGAAAAGGCAAGCCAAGCACTGTGGATCACAGTAAAAAAAAATGACATAAGGACATGTGAGAAATCAGCAAGACTCCCACTCATCACTGGCTCAAAAGAACAACCCTGAAAAGCTTTCTTTTGAGCGTCCTGGGACACCTTGCCCCTGAACAGACATTGATTCCCTGAGACTCTGCTCACTATGCGCAGCCATCCAGGCACTCTGGAGCCCTGCAGCTGTGATGCAAAAGGACCTCCCTACCTTTGGAGCCTGTCAGACCTGGGTGTCAACCACATGGTGCTGGTTTTAGATGCATGCAGAATGCAAGACATACAGAGTCAGAAAGGCTCTACCTGGATTTCAGGAGAAGCCCTGGGAGGCTGGCCGGTGTGCCTTGAGAGGGCAGTATGTGACATAGTGAGTATGACGTGGTAGTGTGGCAGAAACCCCAGGAAGCTGGAGAAGTTGAGAGTGTGGCACATCTGAGGAAAGGAGGCAGTGAGTACAGCCAGCTGAAGAGAAGTTGTGAGGGCTGCAAGCAACAGCCATGCTGTGCAGGCAGAGCTGCCCTGCTGCTTTAAGCTGGCATCATGCCACCTCTTGCCCCAGAGGCTGGGCGTGGAACTAGAAGGTTTAATGTTTGCCCTGCTGGGTTTCGTTCTTGCTTTGGTCCTACTGGCTTCTATCCCTTTATGCCCCCTTTTGGAATTGGGATTCTTAGCCTGTGCCTTTGTATGAAGGTAGTGTTTAACTTTTGATTTTTACAGGGGCTCACAGCTAAAAGTGCTCTGAGCCTCAGAGGAGATGTTGGACTTGGACTTTTCAGCAATGCTGAAACTGGTAAAATGTTTGCAACTCTTACAGATGGACTAAATGCATTTTGCATAAACATATGAATCTTTTGGGGGCCATGGAAAGAATGCTATGGTTCAGATAAAAATGTCACCCAAAGTCTTATGTTCTCATAGGCAGGGCTTGGAGAAGGTGACTGGATTATGGGAGTGTATAGCTGACTTGCTCTTAGGGATCTGTTGGAAGAGACTTGTCACTGAAGTGGCAGATCACTGGGGGTGTGACCTAGAAGGGGGTATCTCCTTGCCTGGCTCCTCCTTCCCTTTACCTGCTTCTTGGCTGGTATGACATGAGCAGCTTCTCCTGCACCACACTCCACTACCACACCACCCTGCCTTAGAGCTGGTAGACTGAACCAGAACCTCTGCAAGCCGTGAACAAAATGAACCTGTCCTCCTTAGGGTTGTGGGTATCAGGCATTATGTCTCAATGATTAGAACAGTGACTAAGGCATCATATTAGGTGATATCTTAATATTTTTGGCTTTTTTAACTCTGCTACAAACAGAAAGAAGGGACTGAAAGAGTGGTGAAAATATATTTTTTTCAACGCAGTTTATGTTAGTCCAAGGGCCAGAGATACAGGTTAGCGGCACATGAACCTGTCTGGCAAGCTCAGTCCTGAGTTCAATTCCCGGTACCAAAAAGAAGAGACAATGTAGGGTGGTTCAAATTATGCATTGCATCTGCTACGAATGATGCAAATGCTCTTTCTGAATGTTTCACCTGCTTTTATCATGCAAAAATATTAATTTTACATAATTAAATTATTTACTTCAAAAAGTTTAGTTTTTACTCAATATTTTACATTTCTCTTAGAAATGTCTTTTTCTCTTAAGTTTGTAAGCATTCACAAGTATATTTGCACTGTCAAGAAAACCCTCTCTGTACCCCACTTCCTCACCTATTATTCTCATCAGTGCTCTTTTCTCTCTACCTATGTCTCCCATTCACTCTTCAGCACACTTCTGTTACCCTTCTGCTCCTTTCTTCATAAATAAAAACAGCTCTCAGCTAGGCATGGCAGTATATGCCCACAATTACAGCCCTCCAGAAGGCTGAGGCAAGAGGACTGCAAGTTCCATCCGAGCTGGGCAGTTTAGGGACTGAGTGAGACCCTATCTCAAAGGAAAGGTGGGGCTGTGGCCCATGCCAAGGTGCCGGGTTCAGAGTCCAGCTCTCTAGAGAAGGAGGAGCGCAGCCCTTCAAATTCCCCGTGCTGCTACACTAACTGCTCCTCTTGTTGGGCCTCTCCAGGTGACTGTCCTTTCCCCTGTGGTGCCACGTTCTTATGGATTTCCTCCTCCACTTCTGCAGCCTACTTCCAATATCTCTTCTAGGCTCCCCTGCTTTATCCAAATGCTCCATGTTCAAATTCTCCTAGATATATAAACACTAAATGCTGAATGGCGCTCCCCCCAAGCACTGGATTTATCATTTACTCTGTAGGTAGGTTATGCCAGGGGCTGGCGAGATAGCTCAGCAAAGGGGTTCTATCTCAGTGTGCCATGCCATCTCCACCCCCGGGGCATGCTAGGATGGTGATTGAGACTGGGCGTGGAGGTGCATGCCTATAATCCCAGCACTTGGAATGCTGAAAACAGGAGAATCACGAGTCCAATCTGTGTAGTTAGACCCTGCACTAAAATACATTTTAAAAAGTTATGCCAGGCCCAGTGCCCAGTTGGCATCTGGGACACAAAGTTGACTCATGCTTAGTCTACTTCCTTGAGAAATTTCTCCACTGGTGGCAAATATAGGCAAGAGGTGACTGGGATGCTTGTCGCTGTTCATGGTCATAAACTAGTGCACTGAACCAAATATGTGCAGGTCACTGAGAAGGGTAAGAGAGTGGATTAGATAAAAAGCCTGCTTAGCTTACAGTATAGACAGTGAAATCTGACACAGATGTCCGTAAGGGCAATACAAGGGTTTACATGATCTGAAATTGGGATCCTACTGGTAAGACAGTCTGGGGAGTTCATGAGACAGAGGGCAGTATGTTGAGCTGAAGAATCAAATAAAACTTCATGGGAATATGCATTTCACCTGACCTTACAATTTAGTCATTTGGAGATAGAACTGGTGGAAGGGTGGGAAAAGTTGGTATCTGAGAAAACACACACTAGGGTGAATTATAGTCCCCCTGAAAGACCTTGCTGTGTCTGCACTGCCAAGTAGAATGTAGGATAGGGAGTAGTGCCTAGACACAGGGGATGAGGTGAGATGTGGCATATCTGGCCTAATGACTGGGAACATGGCCATGTGTCAGCTAGCTGGAGGTATAAACCGG